AGAGTAGTTAATACCACATGCCCTACATTGGGCCATAAAAGGCAATAAAGGATGCTCCATCAATTTGCTTCTCTCTCTACAGATAATTCCATTATCTAGAAAATTCTATGGTTGCTCTCTAACTATGGGCAAACAGCACGTCTTCCACCTTTCTGAACTGTATCCAATTGGTTGGGAAGTGTTTTTGTTATCTATTAGTTATTGCAGATTCAATGAAAGTGCAGGCTTACTAGTTACTATGAGGGAGAAAGGTTCTTACTGAAGATAATTTTCTTTTGGCAAGAATTGGAAGGTTCTCACCACCCTCCTCTGAGAATGTAACGGAAGCATTTCATAGAGCTGGAAAAAAAAATTATTCTCCCTAGAGAGCCAAAGGAGTAGCAGATAAACTTTCCAGTTGATTTCAATTAGAAAAAAAGGGTTACAAACTAACTTTTGATATAGAATTCCATTGGGAGGTCAAAAGTTCCTTTAGTTCAGTATAGTGAAACTCGTTCTTGTAACTGAACTTCCGAAATGCCATGCTTCCTCTTCAATCAAGGAATTGAAATCGTGGGTAGGGCACTTTACGTTAGAACATGGCTTATGACGCATGAAATATTGTAATTTGAGGGGAAGAAGACATCACCTGAAGATGAAAATTCTTTTGTACTGCACTGAACAAGCTCTTCTATTTACTCCAAACACATTAAAGAAGATAAGTGATAACTTAGTTTACCTCTAGCATCAGCCTCTCAAAAAGTTTACCTCCAGAATCAGTTACCCAGTCGGTCAGAACAAACGGAACTCTGTACATGGTCACATAAACATTTTTGAGTTCATATTGGTCTTATGCTTCTTCGACAATCCATCTAACAGATATTCATTGAAGAAACAGTCAACAAATTACCCCCATTTTAGAATCCTACAAACGATTTACATCTCTTTCTTTGAGACAAGGTCACATAAACATTCTGGAGGACAGACTGGTCTCACGCTTTTCTGACAGTCCAGCTAACAGATTCTCATTCAAGAATTCGGATCCAATAAAAGATTTCATTGATAATGTTTTCATTACTATGCTTTGGAGTACCCAAATTAGATTGTAGTAAAATATGCCTTGTAATAATATAGAATAGCTGCTAATTGTAAGAAGATGCATGTGCTAAAGTTTCATCGTAATAAATAATCAAATTATGCAGGTAAAAGTTTCAATTGGTGATGGAGGAGATGGCCACACAATCGTTCTTACCACAGGTAGCGGCCATTGTAATCTTGATTTTAGGGATCTGATTTCGCACAATAATGCCAAAGTTTCTGATAATCTCCCGAAGTCCTCACGGTTCAGCTACCTCACAAAACCACATGTCATTGCAATCTTAGCTTTTGCCGTAATTCTAACATTTGCAGCTACTGTAGTTTTCATTAGCATTCGTTCTAAGAGTTTCACAAGTGGCAATTCTAAATATCAAAGGCTGGATATGGAGCTCCCTGTTTCCATCACAGGCCAATCCGTTGCTGACAATAATGACGGATGGGAAAACAGTTGGGATGACAATTGGGATGATGAGACACCACACACACCTACCTTGCCTGTTACTCCAAATCTTTCGTCGAAGGGCCTTGCCTCACGACGGTTGAATAAGGAGGGCTGGAAAGATTAGTCACTATTAGCTTCACACATACATACGTGTAATGGAAACCGCCCGACAGCGAATCCGATAATCTGGGAATTTTGATCAGGATTTCATCATACAATGTACACCCACTCTACCCCGTTTAGAGCAACAAGCATGTGTTATTGTATTTGCATTCAACTTCTGTAATTATTATCTCCTCTCTATTGGATTGGGAGGAATGCGGAGTATCAGAACCTTGAATATATTTACTTCTTTTTCTTTTTGTTACAACAAGTGGGATAGGAAATTCGAATGTCTGACTAGTAATATTTATTGTTAGTTTAGTTATGCTCACGTCTGACTATATATATTTATATCTATTTGAATATTTTTTACCGTCTTTATCTAGGACATATAAGAAAGGTCGATTTTAAGAGTAGCTCATTACCACGTACAACACATTATATGCTTTTATTATTATTATTATTATTTTCTTCCATTTTGTAATAACATAAATGTAGTAGAAGCCTTATATAAGGTAAAAATTACCATGTTTATTTAAATATAAAGTTTAATATGAGAAAATCAAAGTTTGGAATAAAAATTGATAGATAATAGAGAGATTAGAAGGAAAGGACTGCTTAATAAGAAAACTCCACGTATAAATTACAGGCGGCGTCGGTGATGACACGTCGGTTAAATGACTGCCAAAGTCAAACATGCCCAAAAATGAGGGCATGATGAGAGAGGAATCAAATATCCAGGTGCTTTATAAAATTAATTAATTAATTAACGATTAAGTATTTTTTTCGTGGCTATTAAATAAATTTAGTATTTTTAGTGTTTACAATATAGAAATGAAATCTAAAATTTAATATATATTTTAATTAGCGATGATATTGAAGTGAAAAAGATGAGGTGGCAATGCGGTCGCTCTCAAACCCATATATTTCTCACTTAAATAAATGCAATTATCCTTTATTACTTCTTTTATGATTGTGTCAGTCACGCCAATCATTTCTCTCGTTGCACCCATTTTGATTTATATTTCTTTTTTTATTTTTAAAATTTAATCAAATTATTTATTTTATCATTTCAAAAGGATGCGACAAACCAACCAATTAAAATATGCATTATACCATTATAATAAAAATTATAACCTCAACTATTAAAACTATATTCTATACTCAAAATTATAATCTCAACTATACTGTCCGACTATTAAAATTATATTATATTTTTATTCCTTGTACTGTAAATTAAATCATTTCGTTTGAATTTGATGATAACAAACCTAATATGGTTGAAGATTATCGATCGCATCAAAATTTTCTCTTTAGCTATTTGCTCCGATCTCAACTATTTCACTCATTATTTTATATATCTAGAGAGTATGAGTGTTTACATTTATTCTGTCAGTATTTTGTCAGTATTTTCTCTGCTATTGTTTTTTTATTATAACTTTGACTTTCAATTCCTTTACCATAAGGGTATGCTAAAGGATATAATTTAATCAATTCCCAATTTTCATACCATATTTTATAGAAATACACTTTTACATGTTAGAATGTGTTTTCTTTATAAAATAAGCTCTCAATCTCATAAATTAGATTTGTGTACTCTAAAAATATGTTTATAAATATTCTTATTTTAAAATATAAATTACCAATCTTAAAAAATTAATATTTTATTTTTTAAAATATAGAGGAAAAATAATATGTAAATTTATAAGGCAAGAAATTAATATTTAATTGAAAGCGGCGTTAAATTTTTGTACCAACCGATCTTACCGTGTATGGCAAACAATTGGAAATAGTCAAAAAGTCAAAGTAGTTTAAAAAACGACAAAAACACAGACACAGACTCGGTCACCTAATTTTGACTTTAAATCCTATATATATATATATATATATATATATATATATATCGATTTTAAAAAATGAAAAGATCAGAGAATGATGGGCTGTTAAGCCATTGCCAACCATACACGTGTCCGGATTAAAGCCTTTCCTTACAAAATATTAAAAAAGATGGTTTTTTTAAATATAAAATAAAGATTTGATTTTTCCCCGCCAAAATAAACATAACATTTGTTTCATGGATTGTGTGCATATATATTTTATAGGAACTCGTAATTAATTATTTTATAAATTTTATCGTTATTGTTACTTAGTTATAATTAAAATATAAATAATTATTAGGAGAATATGCTTCTTTTTATCCTATAATTTTAATGTTTATTTTATTTTCTCTTTTATTTTAAAAAATTTCTCTATCTCATTTTGTCCGCATGTATTTATATTATTTTAGAAGTTTATATTAAAGTTACTTATAACAAATAATAATATTATATTATCTTCAACTTATAAGTTATCAGTCCATATATTTCCATTTAAAGTAATAAGTTAGAAAATAAATTTAATGTCTATAATTCTTTAAGAATGAATAAATATCTTTTTTTTTTAAAGCCAATTAATTAATTAATTAATTAATTTTTGGAGGTATGTAAGCCCAAATCTCCTGCGTTGGGAAGGGACGTGTCAATGTAAGGGTGGGCCCAGGTGCCATGTGAGCTGTTGGACTTTAAATCTTTATTGTCATCATTGACGTCATGGTGATGCTAAAAACAAAAACATATAGCAAAAAAGAAAAAAAGAACAAAATAAAACGACGCCGTGTAAGAGGTTTCACGTAGCCAGGTCCCTGAAAGGGGCAATCACGAGATTTAGAAAAGTTATCCGTTCATGGATAATGATAAGGTGACACGTGGGGGCACTAAAATATCGAATTTTACAAGTGTGAGTGATGACGTGTCAGTCTGAGAAGGCAGGGACCACAGGCATAGTCGGTTCCGGCGCTTAGCTCCAAAATACAACTTTTTCGAAAGTCAACAAAAAATCGGTGGTCTCTTGACAGCTTTTATTGAGATGTTAACAAAAAAAAAAATGGGCTGTCTTTCTTTCTATGCTTTTCAATGGGGACCGATTAATCATCTTTAAATTTTAAAAATTATTTAAAATTTTGAATTATCTTTTAAAAATAGATGGATGTAGCGAAGAATTTCTACCAAAGTTCGAACAATTTTAACCATTATATAATTTAGTTAATTCTAATGTTCACACAAGCCGGCACACACTAATCCAAATTTTAAGGATTGAGTTTAGTTGATCGTGTTCTTTTAGGTTACGGGTAAATTTAAAATATATTAGAAAGCACAATTAACTTTGTAATTTTTTAATAATAAAATTTTAAATATTCTAATTTAATTTCAAAATTACAATGAATTTAATTTGATCACATTAAAGTGAGGATCCAATGAGGAGACGACACGTGTGAAAGGAGATTTTGCCACCTATAAATACACCAATTTTCACTGAAAAATCCAATCTTGCCATTCCAATTTTCAGGGAAACCAAAAAGCGTGCAAAATCTCGATGGTTAACAAAATGCAACAACAATTAAACAATTCCCAATTCTTTACCACTCTGGATTCCATTTTTTCTCGCTCTCTGCCCTCCACCGCCGTCGCCCTCAGCCCTATGCCGGAGACGGCGATGGGTTCGTCGGTGTACCTCCGACAGAGAGATCTGGTCCATAAATTTTGCGTTGAGAATCACCACCTGCAACTCCAACGACAGCACCGCTACCAACCAGTTGAAATTTCTGCTGGTTATGGGGGTTTTCCGGCGTCGGAGAAGAAGAAGCTGTACAGGGGTGTGAGACAGAGGCATTGGGGGAAATGGGTGGCGGAGATTAGGCTGCCCCAGAACAGAATGAGGGTTTGGTTGGGAACCTACGACACGGCGGAGGCTGCCGCCTATGCGTATGACAGGGCGGCGTATAAGCTCAGAGGAGAATACGCGAGGCTGAATTTTCCCAATTTGAAGGAGTTTAGGAATTTGGGGTTCGCCGATTGCGGCCGTTTGAATGCTTTAAAGAACTCTGTTGATGCTAAAATTCAAGCAATTTGTTCGAAGATAAAGAGGGAAAGGGCTAAAAAGAGAAGCAAGAAATTGGATCCCAAAAACATCCCCGTTTCTGAGTCATCTTCGCCCTCGGTGATGGCAGCGACGTGGTGTTCGTCGGCGGTTTCTGAAGATGGGTTTTGGAGAACGGACAATTCGCCGCCACCACCGTCGTCGTCGTCCGGCTCGGCGGAGTCGGCGGTGACGGTGGCGATGGTGGTGGAAGGGGACTGTGAAGGGTACTCTTCGCTGGCGAAGATGCCGTCTTTTGATCCAGATTTAATTTGGGAAGTTCTTGCAAATTAAATTGAATGAACTTTCTCTCTTTGTTGTAATTTAATTTTTACTCAATATAGGCAACAAAAAAAAATATATTTTTCAAGAAGAGACTTAGACACTGTTACAAAGATGGTTTGGTTTCTCTCTTCCATGGATACGAGATCTCATAATCCATTCCCTTCAGCACATCGTCTTTGTTGACACTCGTTTCTCTCATGAATCGACGTGGAATCTTCCCCGTTCGAAGTCCAACGTTCTCGTTGACACACCGCCCAACATCTACTCCATTTCAGAGCTCAGTGTACTCGCTGATTCGAGAGGAAAAAAAAGAAGAAAGGAAGGCCATACCGAAACCCATATCTGAAACGTGAATGAAGGAAACAAGGCATCATCTTGTTTTGGGTCATGGCTACATTTTGGGATTTTGAGTTCACACATGAAGCTTATCCATTGATGATAGGGGTAACAATGGTGGCCCTCTTCGTAGTTACCCACATGTCCACAGTGTCCTATGCCACGACTTGTGTAAGAGCCCCCATACCCTTCTAATCTTTATTATGCATTTACTGTCCATAATTACTCCACATTCCTAATTCCTCTATTCTTTTAACTAAATCTTCCTGCTTGCTTCCTTCACATAATATCATTCTCTTCTCCAATGTTCCATTGCCACGTCTCATGCATTCTAAACACTAGGTGGCAACCTTCCACAATTATTGACATATATTAAGATATATAATGTCAACTTGTATTTTAAATTATTTAATTGAAGGCATAATCTTCCCTTTACAAATAAACGTGTTATTTAATCTTACTTTATAATTAATTTTTTAGATAATATTATTTTATTTTTGGGAAAAAAAGTAATTATGAAATTTCAAAAATTACAATAAAATTCTTAAATTTAGAATATTTAAAACATTCTTAGGATGAAAATTGTTTGTAATCAACCTTCAAAAATTTTATTAATACTTGATTAAAATAGTATTGTTAGAACCCTAAACATAATTATTTTATTTTAAAAGTATCTTCTAAAAGTTGGATTAAAACCCTAAACATAAAACAAAGAGTTAAAGAAATTTTATTAATACTTGATTAAAATAGTATAATTAGAATGGATCTTTTAAAAGTTACATTAAAACCCTCAACATAATACATAAAAGAAGAGTTAAGAAATGTCACTAATATATGAACGGAAACTGAAACTATATATGTACTATCTCACCACTTCCTTCTTGCATTTCCTCTCTTTAAAACGGCTACCATCTATGACGTAACACATTAATACTCTCTCTCTCTCTCTTCTTGAAGACCCCCTTATTCTCCTTTTCCACTCTACAATCTCTAAAATCATCTCCTTCAATTAATTTATACAGATTATAGCAAGAAAAAAGAAGAGTAATAGAACCACTCAGGGACCTCACGACTTATATCTTTCGACAAGGTTGTACATTAATAATCGAAAATGAGCTTATAAGTCGTTTGGGTTTAATACAAAAAAAAAAAAAAAAGAGAGAAAAAAAGACTAGAAAATTTGGGTAATATTTTTTAAAACAACCAATAAGAGGGAAATATAAAGAAAACATAAACACTATGTTGATTCATTTTATAATTCAAATGAGTTTATTTGTTACGACGATAGAGATCTAATCCAGGAACACCCAATGAGTGACACACACAGATTGATATCTTATACAAGACAACATAAGCAATTACAAAAACAATCCATAAGGTAGGTATGGAAGTGCTATCAACGCGATGACACAAATCAATACATTAGAAGGATTCAAAAGATCCTGATTAGAGCTAGCTAAGGCTAACCTTATTGTAATAGAGCGTACTGTGTTCATATATTATTCATATTTTCAGAACTCGAACTGGTTCAGAAACTTACGGAAATTCCTCAGGAAACCGTTCTTCTCTTTGTGTTCCTGCTCTTTTTCCTCTGCGCGTTGGTGAAGGAAGTGGAGATGCTTGCGATCGTCCTTCGAATCGCTTCTGAACGATTCCCGCGGTTCGTCATGTCGGATTTCCCTCCATCTGGATGGAATCGCTATTTCGCGATCCGATCCCCAATTCACAACAGAATTAGGGCTCTGTCGCTCATCGGCTACGATCATGTCGTTTCCGTATGAGATCCTCCCCACGCTATAAGGCTTGAAGTTGTGGCGGCGGTGACATCCGCGGCGACTTCGCCGGAATATCAACGGCACCGTTCGCCGGTCGAATTGGCGGTTGATTGGACGGAAGGTGAGCACGACTACCGGATCTGAAACGCTCTCCGTCGCATCGACCTCGTTAATTTCAGAAGGATTGTCTTCGGTGCGTACCTGATTGAGAACTGACATGGATTTTGGAGCATCGTATTCGGATAATTTCTCGGACGGGAGGAAGATCGAGGCCTTCAAATCGGAGTCGTCGATGGATCCGGAGGCGGAATCAGAGACGGAAACTTCATGTTCCGATCGCTCTGTGAGTTGGCGAGCGTGTGAGACGGAGACGACGAAGAAGACGAAGAGAAGAAAGGTTAGGGTGGGTTTCGCCATTGTTGTGATTGCAATGTCAAGGAACAGAGGAGAAATGGAATTTATAGTGTTTGACGGAGACGAAATTTGGGGCAGGTGGGGTAGGATTTCACCGTTTACTTTGTGTTTAACTTGAAACACGGGCAACGGGCAACATTGATTTTGTAAACACCGTCTTTATTATTTTATTAAAAAAAAAAAAACAAAATTATTTAATTGCGCTAAATTTAGCTTTCTTTCTCCAATTTTACGAATAATTATAAAATCAATTGTTTTTTTTTCCTTTCAATTTTTAATGTTCTTGATTTTTGGAAAAATATTATTGTCAAAATAAAATAAAATTCTTGGAAGACAGCTGGCATTTCCATATTTTTTTTCTTTTAAAAACAAATCTGTAAGCTTAATAAACAATTTCTTGCGGGTTACAAGGCAATCAAACTGGCTCTTTAATTTTTAGGAAGGTTTTAGAAGCCGAAAGAGAAGAAGACACAATTAATAGTGAGAAGACGTACCATTGGCGTCCCCTCCCGTAGGGCTTCGAGCAAGGCGTCGGGGTGGTGTCGGGCACCGTCGCCGAAGCCCTTGAGGGAGAGAAAGCAAAGAGCATGTCTTTTAGAGTCACTTATCTTGTCTTCTCTTGTCCATGAGATTATTGGTTCAGAGGAGAGGAGAGCAGGTGTTGTTTTATAGTGCTCAAATGGAGTTTTATGGTATCAAAACTAAAGCTTGGATTCTTTTGTTTTTGTTATTGTAAAAAACATGGGTAATAACTCAAATGCTTTTATTCCCATTCTTCTCTCACGTTTCTTTCAACCACTCGACTTAATGCTTCTCCATGTCAACTCATTGCCAATGCCCAAACCCAACGTCTTCACTAGCACAACACTCAGTATCTCCCTCTAATATCATTTGTAACAGCTCGCGGACACTACTAGCAGACATTATCTACTTTATGTTTTTCTTTTCGAGCTTTCCCTCCAAATTTTTAATACACATCTGCTAGAGAGAAACTTCCACACCCTTATCAAAAAAATGATTCGTTTCTCTCTCCAACCAATGTAGGATCTCACATTTTCCGTGATTTGATTTTACCAGCTTTAAAAAAGAATATCAATGCCACGACTTTTCGACAATTTTTAAAGAATACATTAGTCTTTTGTGTGTATATTTATATAAACAAATTAAAAAAGAAATATATCAAATGGATAAAAAGTGAATATAATCTAAATCGAACCACTTACATGATATAATCTTTTGTAGATTAAATTGATAGAGAGAGAGGTGGCGAAAGAGAGCGATATACAAAAAAGTGAATATAATCTAAATAGAACCACTTTTAAATATAGATATTCTTTTTAGAGATACGAACAAATTAGTATAAGTGAAAGCATTTGGCTCTTAGGAACCTCGACGGGGCAATTAAATAATATTAAGAGGGCAGCCAATGAAGCATAAATTCTTATTCTTCGTAACAATCTAACAAAATAAAGTCAAATAGAAAACGATATTTTCTCTATTTGACATTCCGTAATTTAAGATATACCTTATCTCTTCCCTTTAATCTAATCTTCCTACTTGCTTCGTATATATCTTTACAAACGTTCCAATAATTTAAGATTTGATTCAATATGGCCAAAATTATGTTCATTGTTTAAACTCGTGTCATGGGCGTACTTTTTCAACTGGACAACATCGCTATCTTGACATGCTCACGACAAGTCTAAAAAGAAACTCAAACTCCAGATTCATTTTTCGTCTAGTTTTGTGGCACGTGCATGTTCAATCGTCTAGGCCCTCTCGTGGCCGAATGTGCACCACTTGAGAGTCGCCACTCCTCTTGTCGCAACGTGAGAGTCACAACCTACTCTATGTTGTGACCTCAAGTATCAATTTCAAATCGTTATTCCTTCCAAATTAAAGGGCAAAGAAGGAACTAAAATTATACTAAAAATAAAAAAAAAATTTATTTTTTATTTCATTTATCTATCTCAATATTTTAATAATGTAATTTTTCAATATTTATTTTATATTAATCATAATAAAAACAAAATAAAATCTACATACCCAAAATGAAAATTACCAAAAGACCAAAAGGGTATAATTAAAGAGAGTTCATCAACACAAGCTAGTTAGGGCTATACAACCTTTTTTGCAAAATAAAAAAGGAGCTTTTGTCTTTACCCCACCAAATATTCGTCGGGGGTAATTTCGTCATTTCCTCACTTCTCTCTCATCGCTGATGGGCTAAAAGAAAAGAAAATATAGTGGGCTAATTTGTTTGAAAGCCCTTTGATTTATGGGCTTGTTTTATGGGTCATAGGCTTTGAACTCTTAATGGGCCGTTCACGTTTCCCGGCCTTTTACAAGTTGGCCCAAGAAGGCAATAAATATTTTAAAAAATGTAAAATAAATAAAATTGATAATGGATAAAAATGCCATTAAAAGAATACCTAGATGGAACTATATTATTGATATACTCCGTATTAAATGTATCTATTATATAACTAATATAAAAAATATGAGTTATATTATTAATATAGCTCATATACCTAATGTTAGGTATATTAATCACAATAAACAAACTAATCCTAGTCCAAATTAAACAAAAATATATAATTAATAAATTCATCAATTTAAACTATTACTCTCTTAATCTCACGAAATGATTGCAATTAAACTTTATCACTTGGATTTATTTGATGTTTTAAAATCTATAAATTTATTATATACAAAATTAAAAGTTTAGGATTCCATTAGATCTCGATATATGGAATTCGTACATGAAAAATACAAGTTGTATCTGAAACTACATAAGAAGATGAAGCTCAAAGGGAAAAGGCAAAACAATAAACCACCTAAACTTTGAAGCATTTCGATAAGATAATAAAAGAATTCATTGAACCAAGATGAGTTTGCTAATTTTCTCCCTTCCTATCCGAAAAATGAAGTTCTTCAATTCTATATTATAATAGACGAGTTCTTTTTAAAAAAGCGTAGATATGTTAGAAATTTAGTAGACACTTTTCTAAAATCTAAGAATCAAATAATACGTATACGTAAATTATGATTTATAGTCATGGTTAAATTATAAGGTTTGTGTGTAAATATTTTTAATTTCTTATGGAATTTAAATTAGTATGATAATAACTATTTTTTTTTAAAAAAAAATTTCATCTAAAAGTTTTGAGATTTAATTTTGTCTAATGAATTCTTAATCAATTTGATAAAAATAAATTTTTAAAATTTTAATTATGATAAATCTCGATCCCTATAGATTATGGTTTTGATTTTTAGTTCTATATAATTATAGAAGCGACGTATCAAACTATCGTTTTATCATCTAGATGATAAATGATACTTTTCTACTAAAATTCAATTGGCTACCAACTACATTATTTATTTATTAAATTTAAATAAAATGATATGATTTAGTAATTAATTTATTGAACTATGGAAAATGATTGATTAGATAAAAATTCAAAAGAAAAAACAATAATATAATGGTTTCAAAATGACTCAATATTAAAAAATATTAAAAAAGAATTAAAGGTGAACATTGTAACACTTATTCAATTTCGTTAACTTTAAATTCAATACGTTAAGAATGAGAAATAGAATTTAAAATTGGAATCGGAAGTGTGTATTCTTATTTATATTCATAACGGATACCAGCTTTAATCAAACTTTAAGATATATTCCATAACTAATATATTCTCTAAATATTATATTTCAACAATATAAAAATTAATTAAGCCGAAAGAGAATGGCCAAATTTCAAACTTTAATCAAATAAACATACACAGAAAACACTAATTTTGACTACAAAATTTTCTAAGCTAAGGACTAAGATCTAATTTACGTAGAATCAAAGAAAAAGAAGTAAAATAAAATATTGTGAGAGAAGAAATGGTCTCAACAGTTGGAATTTGATGATGCAAGAAATCCAAGTCAGCAGTCTTACGTGGAAGAGCTGTCCACTCACAATCATAAGCATTAGATTTAAAAAGAGAGAGAGAGCACATGTTTACTATACTACAACGCGGATTTCAGCTTTGAAAATTCTTGGTCTACTCTCCAAGCATGGACTTTGACTTCCCACTTCTCTCTCTATCTCAATCATGGAATTTCATTCAACACAAACCACAGCCGTAGGATCTAGAGGGAGAAAGAGAAACCCTTTTGGAAGTTAGATCCAAGTGGAAGTGGACTTGGTCAGATTTTGAACTTGGACTTCCACAAAAAAGACCAGCCTATCAAAACAAAGAGCCAAGGGAAGAAAGCAACTCGGGTTTGTCTCAGTCAAAAGTTCCCCAATTCTAAATCTTCAAGAAAATTTTAAAAAAGAATGAAACAAAGTTGTTTTCCTTTTTCAATTCCTTATAAGAACCCCATGACTGGTTCTTCTTCAATCCAAAGCTTCTCCTCATCTCTCTCTCTCTCTCTCTGTTCTTCTTCTTCTTCTCTCTATTCTACTTCGGTTTTGATTAAACACAAACATACCCAGTTAACCAAATTACCTACCTGGCTACTTCCATGTTTGTTGTCTTTGTTTCTTTACCATTTGGGTCTTCCATTTCCTCTACCTTCTGCTTCTGCTTCTTCTCCTTAGATAGAAAGCTTCTGCTTCTTGACAGACCTATAAATCCAAACAGAAATGTGCTGAGTTCTTGTTCTTCCTACCATGAACTAGCATAGTAGAGCATCAGTTCATTTTAAGAAATAAAGAGGTATTGAAAATGGAAGGTGGGTGGAGTTGGGATCAAACGTCACTCGTTGGTGAGATAATTCAGGGGATGGAGCTTACCAAGCAATTGAGAGCAGAGTTGAGTTCAGCATCTACAGAAGAAAGCAGAGGATCATTAATACAGGGGATTTTATCTTCATATGAAAGAGCTCTTTTGATACTGAAACGGAACGCACCAATGAATCAGCCTCCGATGCCGGAAGTAGCCCCTGGATTGCCAGGGTCACCAATTTCTGTCAATGGAAGTGCTTCTAGTGATGACTCTGGCAGAGGCCTCAAGGACCCTCAGCAGGACCCTAGAAAGGAATCAAAGAAGAGGTGAATTTAGAATCTTCTTTCCAACTTTTCAGTTGTTTCTACCGTTTTCGCCAAGTTTTAAGAACTGAAATCAAATAAGAGGTTAATAGACAAGTTATATAACATGGTTCTAATTCTGTGATTACAGAAAGACACAGCCCAGATGGAAAGTACAAGTGAAAGTGAACTCTGAGACAGGATTTGAAGGACCCCATGAGGATGGTTATAGCTGGAGAAAATATGGCCAAAAGGACATACTTGGTGCAACATATCCCAGGTGAGATGATTTCTTCCTCTTCCTGCTCTGGAAACATGCAAACCATGCACTGAACATATATTCAAATGCCCATACATTCATATTTCAAATCATCTTTTTTACTTCCAGTACAAAATAAAAACATGCTAAAAAATTCAATGGGGGGGAGGGAGATCTCATACTGTGTTTTTTCCTTTTTTCTTTCTAATGGATGAATGCAATAGGCAACATGAAGGAAAACCAGAAGAGAAATAGAAAGAGAATTTGAATATAAGGAATTTGATAGGAATTACAAGAGAAAGAAATGTCAGCAGCTCAAAATTCAAAGTCAAACTCTACTTTATTAAAAAGTAAATAAACTAACTAACAGGAAAGAAACCAAAAAATACAAGAATCACTTAGAAATAAGGAAAAATATTGTAGAGCTATAGTTATAACCTTAATGAAGATGAGATTTCTTCTCTGTTCCCCATCAATTAATCTAATACCTGGTGTATAATTGCAGAAGCTACTATAGATGCACTTTCCGTAATACTCAGAATTGTTGGGCAGTAAAGCAAGTGCAGAGATCAGATGAAGACCCTTCTGTGTTTGAAATTACATATAGAGGAAAACACACTTGTTCCCAAGGGAACTATTTAGCCCAATCATGTCATTCACCAGAAAAGCAAGAAAATAAGGAAAACGACCACGGCCATGATCATCATCAGAAGCAGCCTGCGCAAGAGAGCTTATTTGGTAATCAAACTATTGAGAACATCGAAAAGCTCAAAAACAAGGCATCGACATTCTGCTTCGGCTCAACTTCTGGTGGATGTAAGGACATTGTAAATGGTGGCTTTTCCCATTTAGCCATTGACACTCACACCGCCTTGGGAAGCTTTTCTCAGTCATTTATCTCCCCAACCACACCTGACTCAAACTACTTCACTCCATCCCCATGCCAAAGGAGCAACATAGGAGGGACTCATAATATGCAACCTCTAGAATCTGATGTCTATGAGATTTTCTCGGCCAACACTTCAGCTACCAACTCCCCTATCCTGGATTGGGATTTTCCATTCGATTCGGAGCAGATCAACTCAAATTTCCCATTTAACTCCCCAGGATTTTTCTACTAAATCACTTGGGGATAAAAATAAAATTGCAAATGGTTAATTACAAATCCTTTAGAATTTAGCCTCAATCATGAACCAAGACAGAAGAAGGAAAGGCCGCCCCTATCCAGGTTTCATTTTCTAAATTCTTTGCAAAGCATGGTGATTAGTAATATAACTAGCAGCTTCATTTTTGGTTCTTTTATTAATTTTGTTCCCAATTGATTTCCTACAACATTAGACTAAGCAATAGCACGTCTTGTTCGAAATTAGGAAGCTCCCTTACAATAGTAGTAATTGAAAAATATATACTAGTAGTTTATCATGCATTTTCTATAATATGAGTGAATTTACATACTATATCAAATATCACCATGTCATCAAGGAGATGGGGAAAAAGGACAGACATGTTTTGTTAATAATCAATTCAAATGGATATCAGCAATTAAGTTCACATCACGAAGGAGTATACCAACAAACTCACTAAACCAGAAAGATACATGTTGCTGCAAGTATTCTTCACCATATTAACTCTTATGGGAATCAGAACTTAAGCATACGCATAACAGGTACGAGACTTCTTCGATCAAGAACAGATTGCAAGCATAGTTCGGAAAGAAGCCAAATATATCAACCCATATTGAACAAGTGCAATGATAAACCATAACTTTTTCAACAAAGAGACAGTCAGTCATGAAATTATGCATTGGGAAAATGGGACTGATTAAGAAGATACACAATGCACTTCCAGTTAGCACAGACACGGAAATGTCATTACTTCTACTTGATGGAGAGAGGTTACCAACTTACCAATATCCCAGCGCAGGAACCATATAAAGAAACCTGGAGTTGACAATACAGATAAAACATTTTAACTATGCTGGGCAAAGCAGATTCTAGCTCAGATCAAGACAGGAAAGAACCACAGATTGTAGCACAGAAAAACCATTTTCAGCCAGAATTGTTGATTCAAAGGGCTATCAAACTAATTTAGTATAGAATGTTCAAAAGGAAATTTTCAGAAACAAGCAGCTCAGAGATAATCAGAACGACAATAAAGCTGATAAGGACTGATCACCAATATATCATTTAGCCAAAACTCTATTCATTAGTACTTCAAACAGACTTCACGATCGTAATTAAAAGAGTATCGGAGGGACTCACAGGCTTCAGGGACAAAGGAGCAGCTTTGAATGTGAAGCATACTTTAATCTGGCAATAATGTAGAAGAAGCTGGTGTCAAGTAAAATAGAAGCATGAGCCTTGGAAAATGTGCCCTGCCCATCGATCAATCGGTGCTCAAGAGTTCAGGCAATCAGAATCTTTTCATAGGGGTTCTTGGGGAAACACGGCAGAAAAAGTGGCAGCTCTTGAGTTGGCGGCTGCTATCCCCTCGGATCTAAAGCTCATTTCACTAATTTGGCCCCAGATTTAGGCCCAATATGAGCTCAATTCTGCAAAGACAATGAACCATTCTTGTTTCACAATCCTCGACGCTGGATGAATTTGGAAGTGGAAGCTTCTTTGGACTGTCTGCTATTGCAAATCCTTTTAAAGTTAAATTTCCAAAACTCATTTTAAAGTTCTTAAGAACTGTTCTTTTCGAGGACGGAAATACTATATTATCCTTAGTTATACTAAATATTTTCCTTCAAATTCATAAGCATCTCATCTTAAAACTCAATTCTCAACTCTCTCTAGTCAGTTATTCTTCCTGTGTACGTGTTGACTATATACCTCTTAAGCAACCAAAATCACAACTCAGCAAGAGAAATTTGTTAAAATAAAAGATAGGTCTCCAGTAAGACATCACTAATCTAAGCACCCCACTCAGCAAGACAGATAAGTTATTTGAAAATTCTTCCTAACAACGAATACAGGAAGCGGTTACATCATAGAGAAACAAAACGTTTTCAAGGTTAAGAAGTGGGCTCAAATGCAGCATGTTGGTGCCAAACACCATTGAGGTTGGATTGCCATAACCGGACCATCCCATCCTTTCCTGTTGATGCTAATGTCATACCACCCATGTCCCACTCCATGTCCCACACCTGACAGTGCAAGTGAAAACATGACCATCAATTAGCAACACCACCTCTTCCCTCCTATCTAAGAATAATCGAAAGAGAACAAAATCTAAAACACGCAGATCATGGAACCATATCAACTAAATTGTAACAACATTTGTAGTCAATTATGAGCGATCTTCATATTTATTTTATAAGGTTCCATCGTCATGGATTCAAATGGACTTCTTCTATCTACACTAGGGGTTTCTCTTAACAAATGGACGTTTCAAATGCATCCATCTTGGATTTTCAAGAAATATAAATGAAAAGAAAGGGGAATGAGAGAACAGAGAGAAATTTTGAAGAGATACCTCGCCGTTATGCCCAGAAAGCAGAGCAACTCGTTCTGTTGAGAGCCTTCCATCTGAATCTGGGTTTAATCCGAGGCGCCATATTGCAATTCCTTTCTGGGTTGCAACAGCTATTACCTCATATGGCCTAAATTATATTCAAGAACAATTAATATTATTATTGCTGAAGCTTATTCACTGTTTTTTAAGAATTCCAAGTAGACACGTGAATGAATTTGGTCATATCAAGCTCATTGTGGTGATTCTTTCAAACAGTTACCAGGAATTGCCCTGGGAAGTTTGTGACAACTGTAAAGAAATTGAAGGACTACATGATGAACAAGGATATATCTGCTGAACCTATGTGTTTCAAAATTATACACCACAGATACACCAATTATATGAAGCTCCTTTAGGAATTAGTCCATTACCTTCCAATATTTTGTGCCCACGCAACAGCATAAACCCCATCACCTTTGTCTGCTTCCAAAGCCAACTCTGCAACAGGAAGCCATCTTTGATGAGCCTGATCAAATTCCCAAACCTATGGAGGACAAATAACATATTAAATATAGTATGCAATCATCGTGGACTGACCAATATGCTGTGAGCAGCAGGTCATATCACAATTTTGAGTGCAGTAATGGAATCAGAAGAACTTAGATTACCTTGGCAGAATCAAGCTGTGGTGTATCCGAACGAAAAGCCAAAACAAAACTCGATTGCTGTCTTTCACCACGATTTGGATTCCAAGATATACTTGCAGACAAGCACGCTGCTTTCCTGACTGTAGAAATGGAATCAATGACATTCTGAAATTCAGCCTGCACAAAAGTAGAAAATTAGGAGTCAAATTATTAAAAGGTCATTATTAACTTGTTTTTTTTTTTTTTTTGG